GTACTAATTACGTTTTATATTTAAACATGTTATCCATTTCGTGTATATCATATGAAAGTATACTTGCGCGCAAGTTTGAATTGTTGCAGTAAACAACGATGCACGCTGTATATCCGAGTACCCTCATTTGTAGCGGTGGTGAAGTCTTGTTGTAGTTTCATGTATACAGTACTCGTATGTTGGACCACAAGTTTTTGCATTCTAGTACATACAAATCGGGCTCAAAGTAATCCCGTAGAAATTTACCTTCTTGTCAGTGCCGGAGGTAAGGGTTCTTCTTTGGTTAGCACCGTAAGGCAGACACCTCCTGCCTCCGTTGATACTATCTATAGGTACTCTGAAGTTGGGCAGGTGACGATGAGCTGTTACATTTATATAGCTTATAAGGGGCAGCCGCCTTAACTGGGTCATATACATATTAACGCACCTGTTAATGATCGTTGTACAACTGCTGTTTATCTGACAAGCATAGATTGAGACATATCATGATATTTACATTCATATATAAAACATGGCCTTCAGAAAATTGAACATTGTATAAAATACACAAAAAAATAAGGTATAATCACCGCTGACGACTTGGGACTAGAAGCGTGGATCATTTGAGGGACATAAATTTTCAAGTTCACGGTGCCTTACTTTGGGCCTTTGCCTCCGACACGTGGAGTTGTAGACTGAAAGCGTTAATTCCATGTTTTTTATGTGATTTTAGAATTCGCTTTGAGAGAATAGCTGTTACAATTCTATGAAATAGTGCATTAATAGATAGCGCTTTTAGTTAGCTTATAAGGAGCTGACCACTTCAGAGAACCCAAACATTCGATTGGGTGCTAAAATAACTGAGAATAATAAGCGTGAGAGCGGCGGTGCAGCACCTAAGATGGAAAAGATGTTAATGGAATGGATACGTATTAAGAAAGGGTAAGGTAATAGTAATACGAAAGCTATGATGATGGGTAAGGCAGCTTCAATAAATGAGGAACTACTTGCGGTTTTTGATACAGGGTTAAATTCTCTAATCGGTTGTTACTGGTTTAAAAGCTTTATTAGAGAACGATCCAACTTGAAAAGTATGTATCTGAAAAATGGCACAGTGCATGTTACAAAAAAATACATTTGCATAAACTAGGCCACTCTCTAGCCTCTACTTTAAAGAGAGTCACTTTATACGGTTATACCATGGCCCTCTCGGGAATGCAGAAACTTAAAAAACTACTTCTTATCAGGATCCGTCTACAAAGTAGCGTATAGTAAAAACATAGTGCACGCGCACATGATATTATTCACGCGCATTATTTTCATGGGCGTACAGCAATACGAGCCGAGTCAGTTAAAATAATAAGCGTTGTCTCGGAGAAATTAAAAATTTCGTTGGGACCTTCATATTCAGATTCCAGAGGGGCATGCTTTACAGTCAAACACAGCTTTGACCACTTGACCAATGAAAAAGCCATGGTATTAGTCTTCCGGTTATTAGTCCAGAGGTTTCACTGTGACGGACTTGGTCTAATATAAAGCAGGTGTAGCAGTAGCAGACAGTTGAAAATCAAATCCTTCCTCCTCAATGACCATAGTCCACATGAAGTGAGATCCTTCGCACTCCTTCACGCTCCTTCACGCTTCTGTATGAACACATATTAATTTTGGAATCAGTATGTGTCTAAGTGAAAGGATTTCTACAATTCGGATAATCTAGAAAGAGTAATTTCGAAATGTCTGGTTTTAATACACCCTTTTGAATTGATAGACAATCCTGAATCCATGTCCTTTCAGCTCGTTCACGTGCAGTTTACATTATGAGAGTGCAAATACATCATATAGAGTTGCTGAATATATATATATATAGAGTTGCTGTCAGCAGAATGACAATAACTTGGATGATTTGGAGTATCTGCAACTACTTCGGATTGGCGGTTTTGATATTGTGCAAGGCAATCCTAAAACTATTGACTCCGCCCAACAAATACCAGTAGTGCTTCCTTGCATTCTGTATGTATATAGCACACTTTTTCCGCTTTGCTGTATAAAAATTCACGCGTGATCTCTAAAAAGAACGGAGTAGGTTATATTCGTGAAATACAGAAATGAATAAATAAACTATCGGACATTCCACGTTTGCTCTTTATTATAGTTCAGAGTATTGTAACGCAGTTCTATGCACGTGTGTGTGGGAGCTTCAGAGATTTAAGTTTTCTGTCATAACAATATGGCTCGCACATGCCTGAGGAGTGAGGTACGTGCTAGATTACAAAGCTCATTCGCCTGTCAAATCAATTAATTTTTATAGCTCCTGGAAATATGGTGATCAACTTTTACAGGAGGTAAATCGTAGCAGTACCTTGGGTGGAACCGATACAAATGCTTTGTGAGAATGAGGTGGGTTTAAAATGTGTGTAAGCCATTTGTGTGGATATCGTATCCATAAGAATTCGTATTTCGCTGGTGAATTTATCGTACGCGATATATAGATATGACTCTCAGTGTCTCAAAACAGTTTCAATCCAGATTATTGAGCACCAAGCTTTCAAAACATGTCTGAGCCACCTGTCATTGGCAAACATCGAATGAATGAGAAGCAACGGCGCATCGTAGAGCAACGGTAAGATACGATTTCGCTTTCTTTCGCACGCGCTACTGCTAGTGTGTATGGACTTTTGGTATAGATACGATTTCACGTTCTTTCGCACGCGCTACTGCTAGTGTATATGGACTTTTCGTGTTTGAAATCCGAAACTACATACAGTACATCAATCTGCGATATACTATGCAAACAAGTTTAACTATAGCAGTAGTATAGTCATTATATGTGATCGCCATACCTTCGGCACAAACTCGTCTAAGGGACTGAATCGTACGAGCAACCTCGGCAAGAGTATTCGCCACCTTCAATGCAATGTTAATGTTAATTATATCCTATACACCTCACCGAGCAGAAATTATGCACTGCTCGAGACGGTGGTGAGAGAACAGCTGGTCAAGTCACCGGATGAACAACAATCGAAGATGTCGAAGGCATCATTCATCTTCAAGTCTGCGAAACTTATCAAAGGACTGGTACGAGAAATCGAAGATCTTGAAGGAAGTGTGGAGTCTGTAGCCGAGGAAAATGCAGTCCTCGAAAGCTTGTAAGTCTGGGTTGATACATCCAACCAACTATATTTTCTCGAGTGTAGGTGGGAGTGCACACGCCTGTGATCCTGCACGTACCATCAGAGTTCAAATTTTGAAGGTAATATATTCATATCGTACATATAGTACGCATCCCCTACTTTTGTGTATCCATCGCTGAGAGCTATAGAAAGAGTAGCTAGAAGTTTTTTATTAAGGTGCACCGTAAGTGGCATGCTCAAACCCGCTATACTACCTGATATCTTACATGGCGCGACCCCGTCAACGTCGAAAAAAATGATTTGCGCCATCAGTCGAAAACGTAGAAATTTCGCGATATTAGAATTGCAAACGCGCTGTTGGACAGTCAAGCAAGGCATGCTGGATCTAAGTGTTGGTAGTATAAAATCAGATACGGACGATATTATCCACTATACTCTTGCCTCTTCCGATATACGAGCAATTTTCGTCCTTATCGTTTACAACAGACTATATTTTTGTATCTTTGGTCTTCAATACAGACTGGATGATGCCGCGACAATCCTTGCTATTGGGAAACAATACACGGTATGAATAAGCTCACTCCGTCTCTATGGAGGCTGGTGAGAATGTCCGCACATTCACTTTGATCAAAAATGCGAAAATTCGGTGAAACACACTCAAAAGTATCTTCGTACAGTTCCGATTGCATCGCGCCCGCACTTCCGACGCCCAGTACGATCCATGGCGATACCACGGATGTACTGTCTTTATTCGGCTAATAATTAAGGATTCACTCACGTGGAACTCCTTTCAGCAACCCGCTGCTGCACGATTATAAGAATACAACACGTTATGTAGTGTCTGGAGGGTTTTGCTATCTCTGCTGCATAAACTGAGGTCGTGCAAAGGAGTACTTGAGCGGTAATCGCGGGCGCGAGTGTTGATAGACGACATATTCGTGCGTGAAACTTGATTGTTGATAAAACCATAATAATAAAATCAAACACGCTTGCGGCAGCGCAGCAAAAGGCAGGGCATTCATATGATGGCAAGCCAGCGCACCCTTCAAGCACCATTTCCTACAGCATTACGGCCCACTAAGTGAAAGGCTTCATAATCCTGCTGCGACCTTGGTTTATCAAATAGGCCTTTCACGGCCCAGACCTGAGTGAGAATAAATTCCTTGTTTTAGTGTGAAAGCTTGCGCAGCTTCATGATTTGTATCGGATTGAATATATCTTTAAAAATGACAACAGCATTTTGGGGTTACGAAATGAATGGACTGATAGAAGCTCAGCTACAAATCCGGTACGAACATATATCCCACACCTAGCACTACCAGCTTCTATTCGAGTGCGCGCCTCGGTAAAGAAAGCTAACAATTTAACAACCGCATCCACATTTTCCTGAGAATACATATTCAAAAGAACGTTGTTCGGATATGCTTTCTATGGACTCAGTACGGCTCATTTGACGAAACAGATATAAACCGTAGCTTATGGCAGTATCAAGCAACACATGATACAGATGTACAAACACAAGCCAGCTAGCTGCCAACGTTAGTAATGAAAGTGAACATACCTGCATGTAGGTCACTGTGATCATACACACCGACACCAAGAGACTCCACAGGCCAACACGGTAGTGTACTTCTTCTCCGAGACTCCGGCCGTGCATTTCATTCACTCGGTGGTGGGTCTGTAGTCCAACAGGACAAGCACAAAGAAAATCACTATTCAAGTTTGCATATAAAAGTACGAGGGTTGGCTGCGACGTAGTGCGCTCGAAATCGAGTCAGAACATGCAGCCTACTGCAGAAGATCCTATATCAACAGGAATTCATGGTTTCTCGATCCACACAGCTGTTGCAAAATTGAAGCGCTATTATCAAACTAGAGAAGAGCGGCGGGTGCGTAAACAGTAGTTTCCGCTTGATTGAACAAACCTGAGCGTCGATGATTATATTGAAGCTATCGCGTATGTTTAGGAACATCATTGACATCCTATTCAAGACCGTCACGTGCAGCTCATCCGATTTGACTATGGTGTCATGATTGTCATCGATGTATAGATCAAAATACACGATCTTGTGAGACACCCGCGAGAAATTGTTATCGAAACACACCTGCAAAAGTTCGAATATAAGCAGCGTAAGAATAGGTCTAGTTTATATACGAATATGTCACGCAATAATTACAAAAGAACAGTATCAATTTAACACCACCGTATTGGTCAGATGTTCTTCCCTTTTGTTACACGCCAACCTGAAGCGAATAACTGCATACACGAACCGCTCATTTCTGAGTGTATACGCAGTACTGAATCCACAATAGAGTAGTTGTATGGTGATCACATTGAGCACAGCCGAATATATATAAATATGTAGGTATATATATATAAATATACATCTATATATATATATATATATA